AAGTTTTACAGACAACCCAGAATTCCAGGGCAAGGCTGTTCTGTGGTCCTGCCTGGGTGAGCCTGGGCCCCACATTGTAGATCAGATCAACCTTCCCTCATGTGAGGGTTGTGGCAGAGGCCCCGAGAAGCCATGTAGTGGGGCTCAGAGGCCAGGCATGACTGAGCGACATGGGCAGGGAGAGGCGGAGTGGGAACAGTTCTGGAAGAAGGCATTTGCGACTCCACTGAAATACAGATTTTCTGGGGAAATCTTCCTTAACACTCCTCTCTGCACGCCCTTCACCAATCCTATCCCATTCATTCGTGGAACTAAACCCAATGGAACAGGGTGATAATTGACACAATCTGCATTCATCTGAGGCAGGACTGGGCCTGTCTTGTTCACTCTTGGGTCCCCAATAACAAGCCTGGTAGTGGGCAGTGGGAGGGACGCTCTCCAGATGCCTGAATCAGGTGTTCTGGAGAAGGTGGCTTCGGAGCAAGATTTTGAAAGCACAGAGGGCCAGGTGGGAGACAGGCAGAGAAAGTGGAGGCCAGGGTCCAGCATAAGCATCCTGGAAGGTACCAGCTCACCTCCACGCTGCTCAGCCACTGCCGCACCGACAGAAGGACTGCTTGGCCGTGAGGTCGTACATGACGATGACGCCGTCGGCCTTCCTGAAGAACTGCTGGGTGATGCAGCGGTACCTGCGCCCACAGGCAGCTGGTCAGCGGTGCCCCCTCCCCTCCCAGCCCAGTCCCCGTGGCTGCAATAGGGGAGCAGGGGCGTGGGGACCAGCTCCTCACCTCTCCTGCCCAGCCGTGTCCCACAGCTGCAGAGCCACCTGGGAGTTGTCCACACACACTGTCTTGACTTGGTAATCGATGCCTGCAAGATGGAACAGGCCTGTCACTTCCAAGGTGACAGCTCTCCCCGTGCAGTTTCTGGGCAGCCATGAGAGGAAGTGGTCAGAGCACCAGAAAACGGTGAGGCAGAAGCCCTGAGCTCTGGTCCTGTCTCTGCCATTTATTAACTGTGGGACCTGATGTATCACTTAATGTCTCTGAAAGGCCCCTCCCCACAGTTGTCAGCACACCCTCTTCAGGGGTCAAAAGAGGTCACCTGTACAAAAGCGATTTACCAGTGCAAAGCCAACTGCTCTTATTCATGGATTTACTCTCTCATTGTGAATATCAGGAGGAAAGACTGTCCTCTAGTCTCTCTCTCTCTCTTTTCTTTCTCCCTAAAATCCTTTCCCAAGTTCCTTCAAGAAAAATCAAATATCCCGGGGCGGGGGCTGTGGATGGGGGGTGTGTGTGGACCATACTTTAAGACTTCCATCAGCCAGTACAAAGGCTTGTGGAAGGGCAGGAGGAGGAGTCAAGAGGAAGAGGAGCACAGGAGGAGCCGGGGAGGGTCTGGCAGCGGAGGGAGGGACAAGAGAGGAGTGAATGGGTGGGAGAAGAAATCAAAGACAAGGCTCACCCTGGAGATGGGCCTAGCACTCCTGGTCCCAGCCACCGGGCCTTCCACCAGCATCTCTCTGAGCTGCAACACTCGCTGCAGTCACCAGCCGCCAAGAGGGGACGCGAGGTCAGGGCCAGCGTTCTGTCCCTCATGGCAGCAACCAGGACCTTAATGCAGATCCTTTGATAACAGACGCTCTTCCCTCCTACATCCTATCTGACTGTTCCCCAGTGCTGAGCGAGATACAAAAGGCCTTTTCCCCTTAAGATAGCAGATCTTGGAACCAGAAGAAATCCCCTCCCACTTTTTTTCATTGATTTTTTTTTTGTCTTTTATTTATTTTTAATTGAGGATCCCCTACCTCTTTCAAAGAGGCCGCTGAGGTCCTTGATCTGGAGGGTCCAGGGAGGGTAGCAACAGCAGCAGGGACAGATAGAAACAGAAGAGACAAAACAGACAACAAAGAGCAGTAATGGAAGAGGCCATCCTAGCAATACCTCCAGGCAAAGGCCAGTGAATGAGGGCCCAGGATTAGAGCAAAGGGGGAGGTCATGACCCCCCAGAATGTTGGGACCAGCAGGGACGCCAGAGTCACTTGCTTCACAGAGAAGGTTCAGAGGCACAGGCTCACCCAGGCATTCCCCTCAGGGCAGACAAGGCCAGACTGCTCTGGATTGGCTCCCAGGCTTGGCCCTTCTTCCCTCTGGGGCCTCATTCTTCACCTTGGGATGTTCCCAGGCATTGGATGGAAGGGGCAGGAGGGAGGGAATGGGAGAGGATCTAGATGTGACCATGGCATGGGGCAAGGCTCAGTCGTAAGATTGGGACACCTGAAATCTGTGGAGGAAACCTATTTCTGTAGGCAGAAACTTGGAAGGGCCCATTCTGGATAAAAAAGAAGAAAATGTGGCCTCCCCTGGAGGCGCAAGTGGTTGAGCGCAGCGCTGTGAAGCTGTCCGCAGCCTCTGCAGCGCTGGTTCGATCCCCGCCAGCCAGCGAGGGTCCCACATGGCGAAGCAGACCTCTCCTGCCTTCCCTGCTGCTCCCCTCAGCAGTGTATTTCGTCAGTCTGCCTGTTTTGCTCTCTGCTCTGTCTCTGGTAAATCCTCTCACCGTCCCGTGAATCTGGCCTGTACCCTGGTTCTTGTATAAAAGAATGAATAAAATCCTTTAAAAAAAAAAAAAAAAAGGGAAGAAAATGGAGTCTCCCTGGACAGGCTCTGGCCAGGGCAGGGAGAGTCAAACATCAGGTGGCCAAGGATCAAAGATAGTCAGGACAGAAACTTGGGCTTGAAGGTATTCTTGAGTAACTACTCAAAGAAAAACTAAAGCCCCAAATTGGGAACAGGTCTTCCTGGGGCCACACACTCTGATGACTGCAGAGCTGAGATGAAGATCCGGGACTTCTGATGCCTGCAACCCTCAGCCTGCCTGCACCACCCTCTGCCCTTCTCCCTGGCAGGAAAGTGTCCTTGTTACTCACCAGGAGCTGAGCACACACAGTTCATTGTTGTTAGGGAGACCGTGAAGTGGAATAGAAGGGGTGTGGGTGGCAGGATGGAGGCATCAGCACCCACCAAACAGCTGATAGGCATATGGACACACCTGTTAATCTCTCTAGGCCTCAGTGACCTGATCTATCTATTGGGTGATAACACTTACCCCCAGGGTTGTTGTGAAGAGAGATACAAAAGTCATGTCAATATATTTTCAAGCATAGTTAATGTATGAGCCTGGTTAAATAGTACATAGTAGGCACGCAAAGGATTAATTTTTTGCTTGAGCTACTCAACTTGGTTGAAGCTAAAAGGTCAATAGGCTTTGGGTCTTGCCATACTTTCCAATGCAATGAGCCACTCTGGGTGAGAGGAGTAAAAGCCTCTGTGTGAATAAAACATTACCCAAGAGAGGGAATATTCAGCCAGGCTTATCCATTAGTAGCTGAGCTTGAAATGCTGCCCCCATGCCTCCCAACAGCACCCCACCAGGCCTGGAAAGAAGGATGGGTGAAATTTGACAGGTGAAAGAAATCACCCAGAGCATAGTAGGTCTCAAATCCCTTCATTTTTATTTTTATTTGTATTTTTTTAAAGATTTATTTATACAAGCACTGGGCACAGTCAGAAGCACGGGAGGGTGAGAGAATTCACCAGAGCCAGAGCGGGGAGCAGAGCAGGCAGAAGGACCGAAGTACACTGCTGAGGGGAGCAGCGGGCGGCAGGAGAGGTCTGTCCTCCATTCCACCTGCGCCTGCACCCACACAGGGAGGGGTTGGCAAGGGGGTTGCAGCCCACTTTTGAAGGGAGCAGGGGTGTGTAGGCCTCACGTTGTCCTGCCTGACCCTGAAGAAGCATGAAGATTCAGGGCCCTACTGGAAAGGGAGGAAGGAATGATAACAAGAGAGATGGGCTTGACAAAGCGATACAGGACCGGACTCCTTCTTTGCCATTTCAGTATCAGCCAGAGCTGGACTTCCGGAGTGCCCATGCCACGTGTGTGGGTGAACTTCCTCTCGCCACTTCCCTGTGGGCCAGCCCTCTAGGCACCAAATCCCTCCTCAGCCCCCTTTTCACATCTTCCCCCTACGAAGGTGGGCCAGGCCCTGCCTTAAGAAGGAGACTCGGGCCTCCCTGGTGGCGCAAGGGGTTGGTACATAATCTTTGGGGCTGTTCGCAGCCACTGCAGCAGGAGTTCGATCCCTGGCCAGGGAGCTGACAACATGGTGCAGCAGACCTCTCCTGTCTTTCCCTCTGCTCTCCTCAGCACTGTGTTTCAGTCAGTCTTCCTGTTCTGTTCCCCACTCTGTCTCTGGTGGGTCCTCTCACCCTTCACGTCTCTGGCCTCTGCCCCACTTCTTGTATGCATGAATAAATAAACCTTTAAAAAAAAAAAAAAAAGGAGACTCACCCACAGTGGCTGCTGTGCCCGGGGAGAACCGGTCCTCACAGAACCTCCTCAGGAAGCACGTCTTCCCCACAGACGAGTTGCCCACAAACACGATCTTGAAGAGCCGGTCAGGGGTGGGTGGAGACCTTTCCTCCTGTGGACGGCAGAGAGTCCAGCCAAGCCCAGGAGGCCTGTGCCACCACCTGCCCTTTCTGGTCCTCGCGGTGTCAGGGGAGGGTTGGGACCTGGCCCCCAAGTAGCACCAGGAGGCTGCTCCAGCCTCAGAATGCAGGGAGATGGGAGCAGGGAATGGATGCTCCTCCAGCCTCCATAGGGGGAAGAAACATTCATTCAATCAACATGCGTGCAGGACCCGAGGAGCAGGCCTGGGAGGTAGGCCTGGCTTAGGGTGAAGGAGACTGGGAAGTAATCACAGCACGATGTGTAGGTGCTCTGGGAGCATGGGCAGGTGTCACGGTCCCCAAAGGAGGGGGTCCCTATGGGGCAGGGAGGGTGTGTGCAGGGAAGGGGGCTCTACTTATCCCAGTGCTCAGGGACATCTGAGGTCAGGGGAGGGGCCTCTTATGCCCTGGCCTGAAAGCCTGGACTGAATGAAGGGCACCCTGGCCTCCTTGCACTTGGCTGTCTGTTCTATCTTGTCAGCTTCGGCCCAGGATCCCAGGGGTGCTGGAACTATGTCATCAGTGGGTTGGGAAGTCCTGTCATGACGGGTCTTGGGCAGAGTTTTTCAGTCAACCAGACACTGCTGCTTCTTCTCTTCCACCCAGCAGCAGAGGGAAGGGAGGTTCAAGCCCAGAGGCAAAGCCCTCACCCCGGGATCTGGAGCCAGTGAGAGACAGGGGCCTTTCCACTGCGCAGTCCCCTTTCTAGAGAGCTGCTTGTTCACCCAGATCCTGCCCTCAGACCCGCCCAGCACTGCCTGGGCAAATGAGGAGGCTCTTTAGAAGCTATTTAAAAGTGGATTTGGGGGAATTAGCTCATCTCATAGAACAAATACTATAAAGGTGTGGCAGTGGATAGTAGCAGTGCTTGAGTTTCAGAGAAAAGCCATTCATAGCCTTTTGGCCTAGTGACATTCAGTTAGAGAAAGGAAGATGGTGTTTGAAGGCATCCATCCTGTGAATCACAGGCAAACTGCCTCTGACCTCCTGAGCTGCCTTCAGGACACCAGAGCTCAACAGCAAGGGACAAGGCTCAGGACTGACAAACAACCTAGGGTGGGAGGTGCCCTCACCTTAGACCAGGCCTCTTTTCCAACAGGCTGCTCCCGAGGGGAGGTGGGCAGGAGCTCGAAGGCTGGGGCCTGCTGGGTTCGTCCTTCCACAGCCTGGGGAGACACCTCCTCCTCTTCTGTACATTTGCTCAGTGGCTTGCCCTCCAGGAGCTGGGGCAGAGGGTCTTCCTCAATGGAAATGATTCTGCGCAGTGTCGGGGTGAGGGAACCCCCAGTTCCTGACTCCTTGGCTCCTGGCTCCTCTTCTGTAACCGGATACCCACTCAGGCCCAGAGAACTTTTCCTCCTTGGGATGCCAAACACATCTTCTTCCTCTTCTGACTGGCTATTTTGGGGAGGGGAAGAAAGAAAAGAGCAGAGAATGTCATAAAATATATCAATTTGGAAGTTGGAGTGCTGTCCGCGCCTTTGTGGCAAATCACCATGCCTGGGGGCAGAGAGCTCCAAAAGTGGGGGCAAGCCAGACCCTGCATTCTTTTTTTTTTTTAGATTTAGATTTATTTATTTATTTATCTATCTATTTATCTATCTATTTATTTATTTATTTATACAAGCACTGGGTACAGTCAGAAGCACGGGAGGGTGACAGAATTCACCAGAGCCAGAGCTGGGAACAGAACAGGCAGAAAGACCGAAATACACTGCTGAGGGGAGCAGCGGGCGGCAGGAGAGGTCTGCGCGCCATGTGGGACCCTCCTCTGGTGGCTGGCGAGCAGCCGGGGATTGAACCGGCGCTGCAGAGGCTGCGGGCAGCTTCACAACCCAGCGCTCAACCGCTGCGCCACAGGGGAGGCCCAGACCCTGCATTCTTTAGTTGGAGACACCTGTACTAAGTGTATCCTGGGGAAGGTGAACGTAAAGGTGATGAAGGGGATGGTGAAGATGAAGGTGATAATGATAATAAAAATGAGGTGAAGGTGATGAAAGTAATGATGAAAGTGATGACGGTGATGAGAATGATGATTACTATTGGATATTAAGTTAAAAATACATTCGAGAATAGACAGATAATCCCTGTCCTCCAGGAATGTTTGGTTCATTGGGAGGTTAGAGTCATAACCACACAAATAAATACACTTTTACAAGTTGTGAGAAGTGCTATGAAGGAGAAGTAAAGGCTGTGATGAACGGAGCATAACAGATCCATGAAGAAAGATGCTGGCTAACAATCAGGCAGCTGTGTGGGGGATGAGAGGATTCATCAGAGACAGAGTGGGGAACAGAAAAGGCAGACTGACGAAATACACTGCTGAGGGGATCAGTGGGCAAGTCAGAAGAGGTCTGCTGTGCCATGTGGGTAGCTCCCTAAGCGGGGATCAAACTGGTGCTGCAGTGGCTGTGGATAGCTCTGGGCCCAAGGCCAGTCCTTACTTACTGTGTTTCCCTAGCTGAGGCACTTCAGGCCTCAGTTTCTTCATAAATGTGACCCATTGGGGCCTACCTGGTGGCACAAGGGGTTAAGATGCAACCTATGAAGCTATCCACAGCCACTGCAGCACCAGTTTGATCCCCGCTCAGGGAGCTACCCACATGGCACAGCAGACCTCCCCTAACTCACCCACTGATCCTCTCAGCAGTGTATTTCACTAGATTTGCCTTTTCTATTCCCCGCTCTGTCTCTGGTGAATCCTCTCACCCCCCACACCTCTGGCCTACACCCCAGTTCCTGTATGTGCATAAATAAATTAAATAAATCTTTTTAAAGAAATGTGACTCATCATGGGCATCAAATGCAAGAGATAGGCAGAGCGTGCTGTCTACAAACCCCCAGGGACCACATTTCATGATGAGCAAACAGGCCTGAAATCAGGCTGTCTTTTTAGGTTTGCAGGCAGAGCCCTCAGCCCCTGGCACAGGAGTTCCTCTCAGCCGTGGCGACCATCTAGAAAAAACCTTCTAGAGCTGAGAAGGTTTTAGAGGGAACAGAAGTTTGACAGGGAGGGTCTTATGTAGGAAATTGAAAAGTACACAGCCTGCATGCATGTGCATGCACACTCACAAACACGTACACACATGCACAAATACACACAAGGACAGGGAAAGAGAGAGGAAGAGGATGAGGGCCGAGGCAACAAAGGGAAAAGGAGAAACAGCAGATAGAGGGCACAGGCCATGCAAACTCTTATAATAATTCTCTTACAGTATTATTTCTGAGGGACCGACAATAGGATGGGAAAGGAAAAAAAATGCACATATATTGCCTTCTGGGGTTAAGAGCAATTCTGAAAGATAAATTCAGATGCAGTGCTTGCTCACAAAAATGGTGACTTTGTTTGGGTTCCTTGAAATAAAATATTTTGTAGCGATACAAGGACCCTTGCACTCATTTATAAATTCACTGTCTTTAATAGAAGCTGACATCTTTAAAAAAAAAAAAAGCTCTCCATATCTAACAAGCTTATTAACTGCTTATCCGCTTCAGAATACAATTAGCATTCCCATCTGCTTTCACTCTCTTTACATAGCCAACCAAGAGTGCATCTAAGTGCACACACGTGAGTAGCCACCATAAAAGAGAGAGTGACTGAAATGACCCTAAGTGAAGCATTTCTTGAATATGCTTTTTATTTGGGAAATTCTCAAGCACGATGACATTCCTGTAATACCTTCAAGTTAGCATGACTAACTTCATTTTTGGTTTTGTCACCAAATGCTATGTGTCAGCATGGAGAGCGTCACCTCTGTCAACATCTGGAATCAGGGCTCCCAATTTGTTGCTTCCTTGTTTACTGTCAGTTTCCTCTACTCAAGCACAAGTTCCTGAGAACAGAGATCAGGTCTATTTTGCCTGCCACTGCATACCCTGCACCAAGCACAGAACCTCACACTTAGTAGGCATGCAATAATGAATATTAATGGCAGGATGCATGTCTAATTTCTCTTTGGAATCTTCACAAAGCTCAAAAGAATAGCTGGTATAGTGTTGCATCAGGCAACACCACACTGCCAAAGAATCTGGAGTCGTGGAGCAAACTGCTACAGCAGGATGCTGCTGAGAAGGCAGAACCTGGCCTTTTTATTGAGTGAGTGATTTTACAGACTCAGGTCTCAGGGCAGTAGGACCAGGAGAAAAAAAGTTAGAAGGAAGCAAATGGATGCTTAGGTGATCTAGGCCTTTGGGGAGATTATTCTGTGGATCCAGATTAGTTTTATGGAGCAGTTTTATGGCCCATGTTTGAAGATTGAAATCAAGCCTCCAACCCCCACTCCTGGTCCCCATCTTATTAACAAGGCATTCCGCTGATCAGTCTCTGAGACGCAAAGTCACATATCAGTCAAAGGCTCCCCAGATTTTCCTGGTCATGCCTCGTGATGTATACTCATTGTCCCAGGGAATTAAGCATCCTGTTCTTGTTTAACTTGTGAGGAAACTTTACAGGGTCCACAGTTTGCATTCTTTTAGTTTAGGTAATTGATTGACTGGGCCAGATGGACATGGTACTGAAAAGGTCAAAGCTGCATAGCCAGAATGGCGGCTTAAGCATCCCTTTGAGCCTAGCAAGCCCACAGTACAGAGTGGTACTCAGCAAATGCCTGCTGGATGAATGAGTGATGAAAGCATTCCATCCATGGACCAACAGGACAACTTGTATTGAAGAAGTCTGGCTCCCAACTGTGCCTCCAAGTTCAGCTACTTAGAAAAGGAATTCATGATCATTGATTGGGTCCAAAGACCTGCCTGCTCAGCTCGCTGACATCCGTGATCCCCTCCTGGAATCACCTCCCCTTCGATGTCTGTGTCTCTGAGGCTTGCAGTCCTCAGAGTCTTTAAGATAAGCCAGTTCACACACTGTCTCTCTGGTCTGCTACTTGGAGGTCTGGCTGCCTCTGCCTCTCTGCAGCCTCCGTGTGGGGGTGTATGTGCCAGAAGAGAGGGCAGGGAGCTAACTGGTCTCTTTGGATGAGCAATGAGCCACTCCTTTTGGGACCCAACTTCATCATGTGATGCCCAACAGCAACAAAATATTATTTTTGAGTTAATTAAACAGGGATCATTGAGAGCAGTCTACCCTGCATGGGCCCCCTTCTCATCTGCAACAGGAGTGCAACTATTGGTGATTCCGTATGACATTTTAATTACACATCAGAGCCCTTCACAGTCATCTGAGAAGCCAAGTGCCTCCATCCAGCTCAACAGACAGCAGAGTATCATCCAGCTACTCCCCCATCTCCAGGCCCCATCCTCTCATCCTCTCTCTCCTCTGCTGTTTGACAGCACTCTTCAGTCCCCCTGCAGGCTCACACCAGGGTGGGACTGGCCCAAAAGGCAATGACTTGCCCTAGGGGTTTGCTCTGCACATGCCACTTGGGTGTCTGAACAGGCTACGGAACATGTTCTCAAGATTCAAGGGGAGTGATCCCAGGCTTCTCCACCAAAGCCACACCTCAAGGGTCAGTCTACACTCCGCATGGGCTCAGAAACTGCTCCCAGAGAGACAGACAGAAAGAGTGAGCAGATGGACGATGACTTACCTTCTAAGAATCCCCCTGCTGTCCATGTACTTGCCAATCACGGAGCCGGATCTCTGTTTCCAGCTTGACTTGAAAGCAGCTATGTTTGCCTTGGCTGCCTTATCTTTCTGCAGAAACACAAAATACCCTCAGATGCAAGCAGCTGACTTGTTCCACTGTTTGAGCTGAAAAGGGCTCAACTTTCCCACTGCTAGGTCAGGCTGTAAACCAAACTCTGAAGCACACATGTGATGATCTGGCCTCCTGGGAACATTCGCCTACTCTTTGCCTTGGCCCTCACCTCTCACCATAATTCCATCAATCTGATAATCTAAGCAAACGCACCCCCACACAGTTTAGAATCTGAGGTCCACCACATTATCTTTCATGGAAATACTGATACTTGCAAGAGATCATGTGGAATGCATAGGTAAAGTATTTACAATCAGGCAAGGAATGTGAGGTCAGCGATTAGGGTGACAGTTTTACATCAGGCTCTTGTGTGGCTGTAAGGCCTATTTGTTTCCAAAGACCCACCTATGAGAAAGGGAGCCAGGCCAGGGTCAATGAAGCATCCCCTGTCTACAGCTGCTACACACGATTCCGTATTTCAGAGCTTCGTGAGAGTGGGCTGAGCGGAGACAAATTGCTCACAGATCTGTGATGGAGAACCTGGGTGAAGAGGAGGCTCACAGCCCCCTTTGCCAAGACTCCCTGACAGATGTCTTCTGGGAGCAGAGGGGCGTGAGATCACAGGAAGAACTGCTCATTAATCAGCCACCCCACTATTCCCCTGCAGCCCTAATGAGAGAAGGTGGGCCAGCCCTGCTCCCAGGGCCCCGAAGGTGTAGCTAGAATGTTGCCAAATTAATCTTTAATTATTATTCTGCTTGAACACAATAGTTTCCCTCCTTCTATTCTCCATTAGGCTTCTTAATTCTGTTCTGTTTTCAAAGCAAAATGAGTTTGGCAGGTAAAGGGAAGTGAGGCCAAGAGATTAGGCTGACATTTAGTTGGAAGTTTTAAAATAAATTCACTGTTACTTCTAAAACAATTATAATCACTATCATCATCAAAACAAGTCTAGGCTGCAGCCTTACTCCAAAAGTGCCTGTAGGTGGATGGCAGTGATGTTTGCTGCCACTCAGATATGAGACAGAAATGGCCGTGTGGAGGAGGGCCCTGGAGACTGCCTAGGTGGCCCTAATGCAACTGCCTTAGGCCAACCGTATCCAAGCCATTCTTTTTTCTTTTTTTAAGATTTATTTATTAATGCATACAAGAGCTGGGGTGCAGGCCAGAGGTGTGAGGGGTGAGAGGATTCACCAGAGACAGAGTGGGGAGCAGAACAGGCAGATCTACTGAATTACACTGCTGAGGGGAGCAGCGGGTGAGCCAGGAGAGGTCTGCTGTGTCATGTGCGTTGCTCCCTGGCCAGCTGGGGATCAAACTCATGCTGCAGAGGCTGCAGATAGCTTTACAGTGCTGTGCTTAACCCCTTGCGCCACTGGGGAGGCCCACCATTCTCTAGGTAAGGGCCCAGCGCATATCACCCTCCTCTTTCGAGGAGTTTTTCTCAAAAACCCCTACAACATGGGAAGGGAGATAGGGATTCGTTGCCTCAGGTGATAGCTGGGATCCTGAGCTAAGAGGCAAATAATTTGCCCAAGGACATGCATGAAATTCATGGCATGTAATCTTGATAATTTAGAAAAATCACATCAATCCATCCTGCCCCAGTTTTTCTTCCCTTCAGAGCATCCATCGACGATTGTCTGAAGGAGAAGATGGTAAAGGCCTGTGGAAGCCTAGATTTTCTTTCACGTGACCCAGTGACTAGTTTTAAATAAATATAGGATGCCGTGTTATTTGGGAAACTATGTAAGTCTGGTGCTCAGATATCGGGGAGTAGGGATCTCCAGAGAGTAAAAAATGTTCATAAAATCAACTATGTAGATTGTGAAATATACATTTTTAATTTGCTCTAGAATGGTCTATAAATGCAAATTTTTCATCAAGAGAGAAGCATTTTAATGAAGGAAAAACTGAGCATTTTGATTTAAAAGTGAGCATGGCACTTCAACTGTACTGTCTCATGGACAGAACTGTCCTTTCTGCACCCAGGACATGTGTGACTCTCTCAAATATTTGAGTCTCTTCATGCCAAGAGGAAAGCGTGCTACTCTGTGGAAAATTAATGCACTGTTACCCAGCAGGCCACCCTGCATTTTTATCATTTTCAAATAATCTGCCACCATCCTGGCCTCATGGAAAGGATAAAGCAGATCCCAAGACTTGGGACATTCTTGGGCCCACCCCATAGGATCCGGCTGCCACTTGACACAGCCCTGGTCTTCCCTCAGGAGAAGACTGCACTGGTCAGTTACCTGGAAGCACATGTCTCGTTCATCTCGAAGGTGCTTGTTCCTTTCCCTGTAGACAGAAAAGGGAAATCTATTCAGTAGCAGATCTTGAAATCAGCTTGCAGGTCAGATGAGTGCCCAGGGCGGCTTGGTGAGGAAGACCTAGAATGTCTGAATCTCTCTCCTCAGGGATGGTGGTGTAAGGTAGTTGGCATGTTAATCTGCTCAGGGGTGGGGATACACAAGGCTTTGTGGTGCCCAGCAGTATCAAACACTGGTCCAGCCTACAGCTAGAGGGCGCCTTCCCAGAGGGTCACCAAGAGCTCCAGCTACACCTGTGCACCTCTGCCCCCCACCCCCCACCCCGGGCCTGCCAGGCATTGCAGGAAACAGGAGGAGTGCAGGCTATGATATCCCAGCTACACACATCTGGTGGCAGGTGGGCTCACAGCAGGACTTCAGAGCAAGTTCAGGGGCACAAGAAGTGTATTTTATAAACACCGAAAACAGCAAAGTAGGGTTCTCATGGCAGAAGGACCCACTGTGGGGACGGAAATGTTAGCAACCCTTGTAGCTGGGTGAGGACTTTGGGGGGCCCTGGGAAGACACATCTTGATCAGGGAGCAACCTGCACTGTTCCCTGCCTTCTATCTCCACCTCCTTGCCGGAGATGATTAGTATTTAAGGAAATGCTTCCAAGGTGGTGGCAGCAGAACCTCCCCATCGCTGCCTGGTGATTGGCACTCACTCGTATCACCTAATTCTCAAAAGAAGCCTGTGAGGTGGGTGTGAAAAAATTAAGACTCCAGTTCCTGAAATCAGTTGCCCAAGGTCACGCAAGGTCATGACTGGCAGTGCTAGGCCTGAAGCCAGATCCAGCTCCAAAGTAGATGTTACCAGCCTTCCTCCTTCCGCTTCCCCACCGCCATGGCCCTGCAATTGCTTCCATTTGCCCACATTTGCCTTAGGGTGAAGTCATCACCCTGTCCTGAGTCTACCACCTGTGTTCCCTCCACCTCCACCTTCCCACTGCCCACCCCACCACACCCCACCACACCACACCCCATCCCACCACACCCCACCCCACCTCACACCACCCCATCACACCACACCTCACCTCACCCCACCACACCACACCACACCCCTCCCTCTGCTTCTGTCCTTAATTCTTGTTTGCCCACGGTTCCTGCCACCTGGTGGTTTCACCGTGGAGGAGAGTCTGCTGTGGCGTCTTCCCCTCCAGCCTTCCCCACCGGCAGAGTTCCATCCAGGAGCCACTTGACAGCCCAGAAGGGCTCCAGGTGGGTGATTCTGCGCTGATGCTAGTCTCCATTAAAGACCCGCAGGCGTGTGTCAAGTGCTGCCCATCATTCTGTCATTCTCCCCTGCTCATTCTCACTGAATCTGCCCTTGCATGTTTTCTAAGGACAAAAGAAAAAAAGGAGACACAAGCAAACCAACCCAAATTTGTCCTTATACATCTTGTTCTCATCTTTCCACCAAAACCTTCATGAGAATCTCACTCTTCTGTCAATGGATTAGAACTTGGTCCCCAAAGAACCTCCTCTGTCTCCCCGGTTCTAGAGACCCTGTGGAACCATGTATTGAAGGAAGTCAACCTGAAGGGCGTTCAGTTTAAAGAAAGCACTTTTCAATTGGGTAGTGTCACAGGGACCAGATGCAGTGACTTCCCCTGGCTTTCAAAACTTCAAATTAGAAAAGGAAAAAAAAAAACTTTCATAATGGAGCTGATTCAAAACCACTTGTGCTTAAAAATCAGATCCCCAAGTTCTTCTGTGTTACCACCATTACCCAGGAGGTGTGTGGCAGGCAGGTGGCAGGGCCTGAGCCACTCCACAGACACAACTGAAAATTCCATCTTTCCCCACAGGTTTGTTTCTTGTTTTTAGCACATTCTGGACCAAGCTTTGAATTTATCACTGAGTTTCAGCAGGTTGAGGAAACTCCTTGGCTCTGTTTTTGGTTCCTAATTTGTGACTCCTTTACTCACTCAACAAACATTAGCAGAATATTGGCGGAAGGACAAAAATCAGCCAGAGATGGGTCTCCATTCTGGCTCCACCAATGAGAAGCTATATCACTTTTGCTAAGTTCCTTCATTTCTCTAATATCAGCTTCCTCATCCGTTAACTCTGCATTAGTAATGTCCTACATTCCTAAGTCTTGTGGAAGAGGAAAGAGATCCAATATCTGGCTTTGAGTAGATGCTCAATAAATTCAGTTCTCCTGTAAGCAAGTACTTTACAAAGTACCAGGTAGAGACCAAGCAGCATGAAACAGAGCTATACACTGGAGAGTCCAGATGGTACTTGGCTCTGTCCAAATAATACTTTGGGGACCAGGTGGATGAAGGTGCTCACCTGGCAGCCATGTTTCCTCTGCATGTAGGCCGGAGGACTCACAGACTGGCCCTTCCAACCGAGGTGCCCGGGACATGCCCTCAGAACCCATCCAAAGCCCGCATACCTGAGGAAGTCCAGCTGTTTCAGGAGCCCCAACTTCTCCCGCTGCATACTCTCCGTCACACGGTACACTTCCCTGTGGAGCAGGCAACAGCAGTGGTAAGTGACTGTTGTGGGAGAGAGCCACCTGGGTGGGTGCTGCACACTGGAGCCTAGCAGGCTGAGCTCACATGCCACAGAGAGTGTCTGCTGTGTGCAGGCACTTGCAGGCCTGATCTACATTCAGCAGCACAGACACCCTCTCTGGAAGGGGAAATGACCCCCATTTTACAGCCATGGGCCATCAAGGAATTTGACTTCTCCCCAGGTCACATGCAATCGCAATCGATGCCTGGGTCAGGCGGCACCGCACACGTCCCTGCAATACAGCTGCAAATGCCTCCCCCTCCAGCCCAGCGTTCAGGGAATTAGCGTCTATATTCTTCTCTAGCTCAGCCTCAGAGGGTGAGAACAGAACTTTTATGTGGATGACTCCAGATGCTCATTTAGTTTGTTTCCAGGAGCTCTTGAAGAATCATTTCTCCTTCTGCACTTTCTCCTGAAGATCTCCTGTCGGTGGTCCCCAGATCTCTGGAATTTCCGCCATTTGTTATTCATTTCTTTGACTTAAGATTTCTTATCTCGAATGATAAAGCAGAGATTTAATGAATTCTAATCAGCTGTTTCACAGCGTGAGGCGTCAGTCATACTGGAGTCTTGAGGAAGGGGAGAGGAGCTGAGAGCAGGGTGACTGAGGTGACCGCGGGCTGCTCAGGCAGTGGGTTGTCTGCATCTGTTGACCCCCCACAGGGAGGAGGGTCAACAAACATTGGCAGGAAGGAGGAAAGGAGAGAGAGTGAGAAAAGGGGGCGAGAAGAAGGCAGCAAAGAGGAAGGGAGGCGGGATGGAGGAAGTCAGCTGAAGGGCATCAGCACACTCAGGGAAGAAAGGGCAGAATTCTGTGACCTGGCAAATAGCCCTCGCTTAGCTGCACAGCTCTGCCTCCAGCCTTCCCTCTCTGCCCTGCACCATGGCTTAGAACATTTTAAACCGCCTCCCAAGCTCACTGCAAAGGATCCAAAGAGCTGCCTTCCCAACCATAAGACACAGCCTCCTAGAGGGTCCGTTGCCACGGGCTACCTGGATGGGCGGCCTGGGCAGGGTGAGGGCAGCCATCTGCGGCCCATCTGTGTCATTACGGAGCTGGCAGAAATGGTACCAGCCTGCTGGGTCCAGGGCTCCCTTGCCAAGCTCACAATAACCCAATTCCTTAAGAGGTATCTGTGGCTTCTCCCCGCTTTCTTGGGTAATTATAAAGCCAATTTACGATAGTAACACTGAATCAAATTTGAAGTTTACCTCAGATAATCCTAATTAAGCAACAAAACTTCCCTGGCTCCTGCAGAGCTGTGGATTCCTAACATTTTATTAGCAATTATATTTAATTTCAACTTGAGGGAAAACAGTGTATTTCCCATTATCCAAACCGGGTCCCTAAACCCCAGTCTAGGATTCTGCTGATTGGCACTACGTGGGCTAGAGCTCACTGGAGCTGCCTGGAGCCAAGACTGCCTCTTGGCCAGGCCGGGGCCCACTCCTCGCTGGCACAGGCAGGGACAGGGGCCAGCAGGAGGCTTCTCCTGCTAAGGACAGTCACTCACTGGAGAGCTGAGGTCCAGGTCCTCAGACTGTGTGGCCCAGGTGCCAGTTCCTAACCAACAAGGCATTTCAGGTCCCCCAGTTACACACACCCATTGATGTGAGAGTTACATACCCACGTGTAAACATCCACACATTTATTATATATTGCAAATTTATATCCATTTGTCTAGTAAACATGCATGTATTTGGATATATACATACATATTTATATTTTTCGTGTATTAACAAAAAGAAAGGCACTTCTGGAAAAAAGTGGTATTTGAATATTTGACTAAAGTCCTTCTAACCTAGACATTCTAAAAGTTTATCTCTAGGCAATGCGTCCACTGAAAAGGAAAGAACTTGCTGTTTTTTTGTAGTGCTGATTGGTGAGGGGGTTATGGCTGCCTTTAGGGAAAGGCTGTTGACTTTGTTTTCAGGAGAGGGATGAGCTATGGCATTCTCTCTGTAGGGTAAAGAAAATGTCAGGCTTTTCTGCCCTTCCGCCATCAGGATAGATGATGGATCCTTGTCCTGAATGCATGCCTGATGGCGGGCACCTGGAATAGGGTGTGGGCATAGGTAGATGGGATTCAGCTGAGCTAAGACTGTGCTTTTAAGGGCGGCGTCACGGGGGGACGCTAGCAGCCCCAGCCAGCAGCAGCAGAACCTGAAGGAGAAGCCGAAGCAGAAGCAGAGAACGCCAGAGAGCCCAGATAGAGTAAAGACTTGCTGGGGGCTGGGAGGCCTGCCAGCCTCCCAGCCCCCCAGCCAGCACCCCTGCCTGCCATATGCCTGGTGAACCCCAAATAAAAAACCTGCAAAACTACTGAGGACTCTGACTCCTCCTTTACCCGGTCTGCATGGGATCAGAAAACCTGCTCTGTGCCCCGTTCCTGCCCTTACAATTGGCGTAAGTCGGCAAGATCCATGCAGAAGGGTATTGGAGCCCTCCGAAGACCTGGAGGGACTAAGGAGAACAGACTTTGCCTGTGACGACGCTGGAGGCACCATGGCGGTATAAAAGATGGATACGTCCACGAGCTACAGGATGAGACCTGGCGTGAAGGAGACGCCCGAAAGGACCAGCCAACGACACCGGAAAGGACCAGCCAACGACACCGGATAGGACCAGCCAACGACACCGGAAAGGACCAGCCAATGACCCCTGAGGCAGCAGGCCATTGCTGAAGCAGGGAGAGGCCAATGGACTGATAGACTGATGAACTGATGATTTTGGACTGACAATCCTGCCAGAAGGCGGAGGACCTTAGCAGGTTATGTTTATTTTTTGAGAATCTGGGGGTGGCCAGTGGGCCTAGATGGCCAAAAGCAGCCTGTGTATGCCCAGTGGCCAGGTGGAGGAGAAAAGCCAACTGAGAAAGCAAAAGCTGGTACTGATGATAAGTTGAGAAGCCCTGAGCGGCTGTTAAGCAGCCTGGGTATGCTGAAGAACTGTGAGTCTCGTAAAATCACCTGTGGGTGATGCCCTGCTCATTCTTGAGCGAGGGTGAGGAGCTGAGGAACCTGTCCTTGGGGGATGGGTGGGGAATGTGGCTTGGGGTGGAGCCCAAGCCGAATGCAGAGTTTGGATCCCCGACCCATGTGCTTGTGCAGTGGGTTGGCTTGAGTGCAGGGGTCTGTGAGTCGCATGGGTGGCCATGAAGGCCGAGTGTTGGAGCGACTGCAGACAGAAACCCTGAGGGTTGGCGATTACCCCCAACAGAATAAAATTGCCAATCCCAGAGCTAGTGCATCCTGGGGGTGGATGCTGTGTGTGCCTTGTAGCCGAGACTACAGCCAGAGAAGGCCAGGAAGCCTGACGGCTCCTGGTGTGTTATAGCAGATGCCGTGTGTGATTTCCCCTCCCTCGTATGAGCAGTGCCTTCGGCAGCAGATTTGGTGGCTCATCTGCTGGTACCAATAATTGTCTTTTGCACTTGGTTGGTGCCCTGCCTGGACTTATTTGTGTTCTGTTGTATTTTGTTATGTTGTATTTTGTTATTTGATGTATTTGCTTTTGTGGGCCATGGCTGCATTGTTTGTTTGCTTAGAAAATTGTGTATATATGTATAGACTATATGGCAGAAAACCCTGAGGGGGTGGACTGTAGGGTAAAGAAAATGTCAGGCTTTTCTGCCCTTCCGCCATCAGGATAGATGATGGATCCTTGTCCTGAATGCATGCCTGATGGCGGGCACCTGGAATAGGGTGTGGGCATAGGTAGATGGGATTCAGCTGAGCTAAGACTGTGCTTTTAAGGGCGGCGTCACGGGGGGACGCTAGCAGCCCCAGCCAGCAGCAGCAGAACCTGAAGGAGAAGCCGAAGCAGAAGCAGAGAACGCCAGAGAGCCCAGATAGAGTAAAGACTTGCTGGGGGCTGGGAGGCCTGCCAGCCTCCCAGCCCCCCAGCCAGCACCCCTGCCTGCCATATGCCTGGTGAACCCCAAATAAAAAACCTGCAAAACTACTGAGGACTCTGACTCCTCCTTTACCCGGTCTGCATGGGATCAGAAAACCTGCACTGTATCCAGTCCTGCCCTTACACTCTCCAAAATATCCTGTTGCAGTGAAAAGTACAGACAAATGCAGAAAATGGTGGGCTGGTATTTTATAAAGGAAAAATGTGTGTGTGTGTGTGTGTGTGTGCATACACACATAGAATATCTGGAAGAATCCAGAAGAAGCCATGATGGATGGCCCCCTTGGGTCATAGCCACCTAAGGCAGGGAGGAAAACCTCTTTTGAAGGGTATGATCTTTTGAATGAACTACCTACACCAGATAAAATTCATTAACATAATAGAGAGGTGCGAGGGTCAGCTCCCCTTCATCTTTACATTACCCCAGCCTGATTGTTCTTTTATCTTCTGTCCAAATCTAGTTCTTCCTTGAGCAACTTCAGAGAACAGGAATGCTTTACCCATTTAAAATTCTACCTGATAAAGAACTGAGTGTGCTTGTCTCTGAACCCTGTTCTCTCTCCTCTGGGCTGCACCGGTGCAGTGTCAGGCAGCCACACATCAGCAGGGGAAGGAGGTGCAGGCCCTCAGGAGGTGGTGGTTCTGTTTCTGTCTTCTGGTGCTCACTAGCTGTGTGACTCTGGGTTGGTCAATGCACCTCTCTGAACCTCATTTCTACATTTATAAAAGGAAGAGGTGGATTAGAGCATTGAGGTACTATCAGTCCCTCCTCTGGGATTCTATTCTAGAGAGAACAAGCTAAGCCTCTCTAGTCCTTCTCTCTGACCTCCCTGGATAAGACATGCTCACTTGGGCTCCAGCATGCTTTCCAGATGTACAAGACATTCCAAGCTTCTTGAAAACAACTCAAGAAGGTTCTGGAATCATTTCTTTATTCCCCCTACCCCTCCCTCCTTCCCTCTTTTTCTTTCTTCCTTCTTCTTCATTTTAATTTTACTAATTGTTTATATTCATATCTCACCTTCTCTCTTTTTCAATTCCCACCCTCCAGAGACCATGTCTCTGGCTTGGTTAATTAAGATAAGACTTCAGAAAGATTTGAATCCTCATGCTGTGATCTGATGCTCCAGCCCTGGCTGCTTATTTCCATTTGCTGTTCTAATGCTTGTGCTTTCAGATGTTTGTTGCTTTTAGAACTTGACTTAATTTAAAGAGCTTGAATCCTTAATTCTGTTTGTAAAGTTAAGCGCTTATGCCTTGTTGACCTGCTCGCAATGAGGAGGAACTGATTTTGCTCATTTACAATGAAATACACTGTCCTTCCACAGGCCATCCTAGGTCTGGGATGGAGGCGTATTGTTTTAAATCAGCTACTTGGGAATATCTGGAGATATCTTACTAAGGTAAAACCCCAAATCCAAACACATCTCTTCCCCCTCACTCCAGCCCATCAATCCTAAATAATACAGGCACTACAAATGAGCCAGACAGCAGAACAACTTGCTTGAGGGAGAAGGACCTAAATTTGGGCAGCAGACAGAGAATGGGCTTCCATTTTTGAATCAGGGGAGCTATCACAGGTAAAGCATTAGGCATTGGTAAGTAGGCCTGCCCTTTACTCTGAAATCAGGTGTTCCTACTACCTAGGTCAGGACCAGGCCCTCAATTACATTTTGGAGATGCATGAATGAATGAGTCCATGAATGAATGAATGCATGATGGCCAGTCCTGCTCCCTCGTTAATATTTCCCGGTTGCTCATTTATGCAGCGGGGGAGGGTTTCTAGCACTAGGTGTGCCCAGCACTTAGCATCTTGGGACAGCTACTTAAAACCTCGGAACCACTGGAGCTGATAGGAATAGCGCTAGCAGGTCAGCTGCTGCAAAGGCACCCTGAGCGATCACCAGGCATGGGCATCTGCGAGATATGTCAATGCCTAACACGGCACCGACCATGGAGTCATTTTCGAGAATGGTTTGCCAAGTGAAAAAGTAAAGGAAACATGGACAAGTTTCTCACCCAAATAAGTAAGATTTGTCTTCCTAGGCTTGGAGCGCACTAGTCCTGTTTCCCTGCCGTGATTCCCGCCACCTTGGTCTCCTGGTCTCTCAACTATGCCGGGCACGCATGGTCTGCGGCTCACTCAGCATTTTCTCACAAACCAGCCTAAGGTTTGTTGGTTGAATAGCATGTCTTCCTAATCACACAATCAATTTTCCAGAACTGGCCTGTATATTCTTGTCCATCCTAGGGAATGTGCCACAGCACTGGCCTGCTTAATAGGCTCAGAACCCTATGGGAAGTGACAGGCAGCAAGGATCCCAAATCCAGGGTCTAGGAGAAGGCTGCAGGCGCACAGGGGTGGGGCAGGAGAGCAGCTGCTAGGGCTGGGGTGCACAGAGGCCACACTCACATCTCCTTCTCCTCGTGAAGTTTGCAGGCCTCTTGTTGGAGGTTTTCCAGCTGCTGTTGGGCAGCCTGCAGCTCCTGGGTGGTCCTCTCCAGCTCCCGGGCCAGCTCCTGGTTTGTGAGTTTCAGCTTGGTGTTCTCAGCCTTGGTCTCATCCTTGTCATTATGGAGGGCTGTGCACTGGCCTTCCAGCTGCAAAGGAATGGGGAAGAGGACAGTGGGGAGTGATGAGCACACACCACCTTCAGCCTGCTGGCCCAGCCCTCCCTTGGTGGGCCAGGAATATCCCTGCCACCCCTCCTTGCCCCTGAGTCTCAATAAGCTTCATCCTCCTGCTCACATTGTGCCTCTCCTTCTCAAATGGCAACTAAATAGTCCAGAGTGCTAAACAATCCAAGAAAGGAAATTCTACAATGCATTTGTGTCTCTTATTCCAAAATAAATAATGATGACTGTCATCTTCTCAATGGTCTCGCAATCATCTCATCAGTGGACATGAGCTCTAGGCTAAATCCCTCCATGGTCTTTTTATTTTTTTAAGATTTATTTATTTATGTACACAAGAGCTGGGGTACAGGCCAGAGATACGGGGGGTGAGAGGATTTACCAGAGACAGAGCAGGGAACAGAACAGGCAGACTGACCAAAACACACTGCTGAGGGGAGCAGCAGACGAGACAGGAGAGGTCTGCTGTATCATGTGGGCCACTCCCTGGCAGCTGGGGATCGAACCTGTGCTGCAGAGGCTGCGGACTGCCTCATACTGTGGTGCTTAACCCCTTGTGCCACCAGGGAGGTCCCTTTCTGTGGTCTTTAAAGTTCATTTCTTTTCCTTGGCCCTTGATTCATTTGGAGACCAGCTGAGTAGAATTCTTCATAACCCATCCTTCCCAATTTTGAATATGGAGAGTAAACCTATTTATTCCCTATGTCATCTCTCAGTTAAATAAGTCCAATTCCCTTTATCTAGAGGAGTTTGAATGCTAGATGGAAACCTGGAAATTCTTAGGAGATAGCTAATATAGGTCATACCAAACATATACCTTTTCTTACATTCCTAAAGCAACAAAAAACCCTGCATTTTTCTAACTTAGCTTTTCTTGGCTGCCGATTATGCTTTGCAGAGCTTCCAAACTCTCACCAGAGGAAAAATCAAACCAAGGCAAATATATCATAATAAATTTAGTTTAATGAATGTGGCCAGTAAGGGGAGGAAGAAGTGACAACAGGGAATTTTGTGTGATTCTCAAGAGGCTCCTGTGTAATCAGGCAAGCATTCAGTAATTAAATCGAGTGACAATTATTCATTTGAGGGGTAAATCGAATTGGTAAAAACCAATGCATAATAGTGATGAGGAGAAAAATTTGGAGAGCAAGGTGGGGCTGTGGGGTGAATGGGAGGACAGCAGGACATTGCTGGTGTTGAAATCATCTTGCTGCAGAAAGGAAAGACACTAAAATCCATAGGTTGGGTTGCCTTGGAGTGGAGGTCTCCAGCTTTAGAAAGGGGTGCTCTCAAGCATGGTTTAATGTGTTGCTATAACAGCCCCCTCTATTGGCATGGAAGCAATGTGCCTGAGTCTCTCAAGGGCTGGGTTCCTTCCAGCCCCAGACAAACCAAACGAGTGATCAAGGCATCCTGGTCTCTCCCCGCCATGAGCCCTTGCTCTGTAGAGGTGGCTGCAAACCTGAGGTTCACCTAGGCAATCATTCCACCTGGGCAACTAGCCAGGGTCCTCAGCCATCGTGGAAGGACATGGCCCTGTGCCCTACTCTGCCCAGCCCACCTCCTGGCGTTTGCACCCCTCTGGGGTAGGGGATGAGGGTCTGGAACAACCACCAGTGAGGCTGAGGAATCTCATCCAGGCACATGGGGAGACAGGTTTGGAAAAACTGACTTTTGAAGACCTCCTTCCAACTGGAGGTGTCCATGGCCACCCTGGCAGAAGACATCATCACTGTCTGCAGTCCCGTTCCAAGCTATCAATGTCCTCAGCACCCCTATTCTCTCTCTTTTTTTAAAGATTTATTTATTTATTGATGCAAGCACTGGGTACAGTCAGAAGCGTGGGAGGGTGAGAGAATTCATCAGAGCCAGAGCGGGGAGCAGAACAGGCAGAAGGACCGAGGTACACTGCTGAGGGGAGCAGCGGGCGGCAGGAGAGGTCTGCGCGCCATGTGGGACCCTCGCCTGGCGGCCGGGGATCGAACCGGTGCTGCAGAGGTTGCGGGAAGCTTCGCAACCCAGTGCTCAACCGCTGCGCCACCAGGGAGGCCCAGCACCCCTCTTCTTTTAGACAGGATGTAGGAAACAAAGGAAGTCTCAGGGTCCTGGAAGCTCCTGGGCATTGTTCTGCTGTGTTCGCATTACCTCCAGGGAGAACCCCTAAACTGCGGGCCCTGAGCAGTGAAGGCTTGATCTTGCCATTGCCTGTGACTTCACTATTTTTTGCTATTTTTCTGTCTTGCTAAATGGTTCCTCTCGAGTTTAAAAAAAAAAAAATGTGCTTTAGTGAAAGGCAGGGAAAGTGGGCAGAAGCCAGAGAGGATGGAGGGGCAAGCCAGGCCCTCTGCGGCCGGCACAGGCCTACCCGCTTCTGCTTCTGCACCAGCTGCTCCAGCTCCTGCTCCTTGGCGGACAGCTTCTGCTCCAGCTCCTGACTGCGGGCCTGGAACCTCTCCGTGTCCTGCCAAGCCGGACAGAGGGACACATGAGCTCTGGTGCACCTGGGAAGGACATGTTTTTCCCCACCTGGAACTTGTTTGAAGGCTGAGCCCACAACCAAGTGTGACCATGGTCGAGGGAGGAGCAGGTGTGGTCCCTCAAATGGAGGCAATGTGAGTTGAGGGCACACTGGACTGGGGCTGTGTGGATGTGTGGATGTTTGTCTCCATTGTGGGCACAGTCATTCAACCCTTTCAACTTCCCTCATTCTGGAAACTGAAGGGCACCTTTCCCTCCGCCCAGGGCTTGGGGGCACTGTGCTCCCACTGTGGTTGAGTCTCCTGGGCCTGCTCCTCCCAGAACTGGCCTTCCCTACTCAGGGTTGCTGAGGCCCTGGCAGCACAGGGGTGAAGGGCGCTGGCAGTAGGACTAAGTATGGGGGTGTCAGGATGCCTGATGTCTCCACAGAGCTTGGCCTGGTGTCAGGGCTCCATGTGGGTGTCAGGAGACACAAGTTCTCACCCTGGCCTTGCCCAGCTAACCCGCTTCCTTCTTCTAGATCATTGTTTCTTTGTTCACAGTAGAGAAAAAAACCCTTACCATCCATAACACTCTGCTTGCTGATGTACAGGGGAGTACCAGCCCCAGAAAGAGAAAAGACATTATAACCTGCATGCAACTCGCCACGGCCTCCCCAGGTCTCTCTTTCCCAGAGAGGAAGCTGTGGGGCCGTGCCAGGGGAGCAGCTGTGTCCCGGTGCTAGGATGGGTGTGCCAGGGCAGCCTCAGAGGAAGGAGGGCAGCAGCTCTGGGGGCAGAGAGCTTTGGCCACCCCCGACAAGGGCTCAGGACATCACCTGGCCTCCCCACCTGCAGACTTCACCTGGTTCTCTGCCTGTTTGGGTCAGGTAAGTTGAGCTGTGGAAGAGTCTGTGATGGCCCTTATCCCAACCACATTTGATGGCAGAAGCAGGATTGACTGGGAGTTTCTGCTCCTGACATTATTACCAGGGAACTCGCCTCACTGGGCTTGGCTGCTGCTCACGTCGCTGGCATCCGCGGACCGTGCCAGGGATGGGCGCAGCTGCAGAACGTCCGTGCTGACGCGAGCGCCTGCCTGCCCTGCCCGCACAGAGCTCCGCAGGGCCTGCTGTCCCGGGGCCAGTGCATACAAATGATCTGTTATTTCCCGTGTGGTCAAACCAGTTGTCAAATGCAGAGGCAGTTTCCAAACCCTGGCCAGAGGGTCTGACCTTTTCCAGGCTGCCATACACTAACTCCACTATCCTTATAAAAGCTATGGCCAGGCAAAACTCGTGCATCCAAGGGCTTAATAGCGTGACCAAACACACCTTATGTGTTTATCTATCTTCCATGTTGTTGCAAGAGGCATAAATTTAAGCACCGAGCCTGGAAGGCATTTGGTACTGAGAAGGGAAAAGCGGGTGAGGGGTGAGGCTGCACTGCCGGGTCATCTTACACAATACGAATTTGTCCTTGACGTTTTTCCTCTGATCTCTTCCAAGTCCTCATCCCCATGCCTTAGTGTCCCTATTGCTTCTGGAATTTGCTTCTTTCCCTAGCTAGGACTTCTGACCTCGAGTCATGGTCCTAGCAGAGGAAGCAAAAGTACCCAGGGTACCAGCCCTCGCAATGGAATGTCATTTGGGGTGAAGGCAGCACGGGGAAAGGCCACCGTTTTCAGAAAGCAATTGTAGGGTCTGTTAAGTAGGGAGTGATGAGCTCTGTGCACAGTAGACGTCAGCCAGGTCAAGGGCCAGGGATAGCCAGAATGTTTCACAGCTCCAAAAAAGAACTAGGGAGGTCTGGAAACACTGACAAGTCTCCTGAGGGCTGGAGCTGGAAGACATGACAGGCTTTTTCTGGAAAGCATTTAGACTCCCTCTCAGTCTGAATGACATCTGGGATAATAAATGAAGTCGTGGTGTGGATAATCCAAAACAGTGTCACATTAAAAATTGGATCAAACCAACATGTCTTGTGAAGAGGGAGGGGGTTGCAGCAACAGGCCAGGCTCAGGGTGACCTGTGGGCAGGGGTTTGAACCATAGGTGGAGGCATTGCACCCTTATTTTGGGGGGAGGTAGTCAGAGTAGCTGGTATTTCAACCTGGCCCTCAAAACCCCCGGAGTGGACTCTTACTTTCAGGAGAAACTGCTCCTTCTCACTCTTGATTTGTTGCTCCATCTCTTCATAGAGATGCTGGATTTCTTCATCATAAGTGGCAATTTTCCTGCAAGGTGGCAAGAGGAAAGATTGATGAGGTCTAAACCGAGATGCTTTCACTCACAGTGACAAAATGCTGGAGCTCAGGCACCAGAACCTCATCTGAAGCTGCAGGTGGCGGGGGTGTCTGCATGGGTCAGTTCAAGCAAAGCCACAGGATGGGTTTCTCAGGATTAACTGGCCACTGAGACTCAGTAGCACCTGCTCTGGCTGCTGTGAAGTGCTGGGTGGCCTCTCTGCTTTATCTCTTGCCCATCAATCCCAGAGGGTCACATGCCTCTTGGCAACGCTATTTTGTCTCCATCTCTTTCTCTCTACTCTGTTTGGTTTTAACACCATTTTCCTGGCCTCTGTTATACTCACCACCCTTTGCCGGATGATCCCTATGCCTTAGGCAATATCAAGTTACACTGTGTAGACTTCTTTCCTGCTTAGTTTCTTGTTTCTCTCCTTCCCACTCTGGGTGCTTTCTCTCTACCTGGCTACCTGGCTACTGTCTAATGCTGCATTATCAGAGAGTCTCCTGAAGCTGTTTGTGTGATACATTTCTCATTAGATCTCAAAAGACTCCATGATGATAATAACAACCCACCAGCACCACATCCCCCAAAAAGAAAGGGGTCACTCCTTCCAAGTGCCCACACCATTGTAGACACTGGGCCTCAGGCAGACAGTGTGAGAAGGGCCAGCTGGTTAAAGTCTGGTGATGCTAATGAGGTGTCCTCATCCCCAAGCTCAGCATCCTCCCCTTGCTCTAAAGAAGACAAAAAGTAGGGCCTCCCTGGTGGCACAAGGGGTTAAAACACAGCACTATAAAGCTACCCACAGCCACTGCAGCACGAGTTTGATCCCCAGCCAGCCAGGGAGCGACCCACATGGCGCAGCAGACCTCTCCTGTCTCGCCCGCTGCTCCCCTCAGCAGTGTATTTCAGTGAATCTGCCTGTTCTGCTCCCCACTCTGTCTCTAGTGAATCCTCTCATCCCCCACACCTCTGGCCTGTATCCCAGCTCTTGTATGCAAAAATAAATAAATCTTTAAAAAAAAAAAAAAAGAAAGTAGGCACCTGAGTGCTCTGCTCCTACATCACATACAGAAAAACATGGTGATGGGGACAATGTTTGAAGGTCATCCCTGGGGCTTTCTCTCCTCTCTCCCAGGAATAGATCCTCCTTGGAATGCTCCTCCACATTCAAACATGAAAGATCAGGTATTAGCATTTGAACTGAGCCTGGAAGTTATCACCCCAAAACATTAACACTGCTAGGGAATTGCATTTTTATATCTTTTCTCTGCTCCTCACTTGCTGTCTGCTTTCTCCGCTGTTAAGAGAACTTCTGACTCCAGGGAATAAGTTGATGTTGTGACTCTCAAGCTCTGGTTTGAACATCTAACACTCTTAAATTTTGGCTCTTGTCATTTTAAACTCAAAAGCTGAGAAGCCCCCTTTGCCTTTGAGTCAGATAAGCAGGTTTAACAATTGAAGAAACAGTTCTGGTTGTCAGTTCTCAAGTGTACTCTGGAGATCGCTGAAAACAACACCAAAGGTGGGAATGTATTTATTCCCCTGAGCCTTCCACCATTTTAACCTAATCCAGTGCCAGGCCTACCCTGCAGCCCTGAAGACCACGGTTGGCCCTTCCTCACCTGCTATCTGCTGCGCACCATTTATATCACATGCACCAAGACCTCTGCCACATGCAATGACTAACGAGCCATTTGGTTGGCTACTCTCCAGACCTGCAGAATCTGTTATAGGACAGGGAGAGGGGCAGCCCAAACCCCGCAAACCTGCCTATTCTAAATGGGTTCTGCCATCCGCCGCATCAACACAAAACATATGAGACTTTAATGAAAAGGAACTTTAATAAAACTAGGAAACAATACAGGTAAGGCAAAGAATCTAGTTTCTAAATGAAGCACCCAAAGTTACCCATCCCCTCGTGGGTAAAAGTCCATCCATATGGGATCGGCCCAGAACAAGGCCCCAAAGTCTACCACAAGTCTAAAACATCTTCCAGTGGGGACCCACAGAAAAGGGTCACAAACAACCAGACAAGCCCGGAAGGAAAAGAGCAAAATCAACATCAAGATAAAAGCTGCCATGGTCACCTCCCCACGGGTCTCACCCACATCTGTGTCACCCAGTCCACAACCAAAAGACACGCGCAGTTTTTCACGTGTCTCTAGGCTCCATGCGCCTCCTCCAGGTCTCCTGGCTCCATCCTGCTTCCTTCCTTCCTCAGTCTCTTCTTCAGCTTCCTCTTTTGCTGCTCAGCTCCACCCTCCCTTGGGTGGGGCAGGGAACCTCCCCTTCCTGGGGACCACCCTGTTTGCAAAACCACAAAACTGAGCAGGCGAAGGACTGGGTTGAGTCCCCTGGTTAGCATCATTCTATCAGAGCACCAGCTTCTGAGCTCCCTCCTTGGCTATACCCTCAGGACCTGAAAACTTGCTTGCAGCCATGACCCCAGGAGGTGCAGGAAATAAGGCCACAGCTCCCCAGACTTGCTGGGCACTGTGTTTCCCTACGAGTTGGCATCCTGGTTTGTTAACCATCTCTTCGCTAAGAGCAAAGACTTCTTGGTAAATGACAGATGTTTAGGCTGTTACTTTCATTCTCAGCTAGCCCGTGACAATACAAGAAAACCTTGGAGAGAAATAAGGAGCAAAGGCACATGCTGTTGGTTAGGGGACACCTCAGGGACGGAAAGGAATACAGTCAGCAAGAAATTTTAGAAAGAAAGATGGTCTCCTCTTAACCCCTGGAATTATCTTCCTGTGTTCAAAGAAATTCAGAGGCTAGGTGGCAAATGATATTGTTAGGGGGAAAGGATGTGGTTCAATATCGGGGCTGTCCTATAACAATACCATGGAAAATTTGAGACTGCTATTCCAGCTCTAGAAACACTGGAGAACTAATAAAATGAGATGAGAGAAATTTAACTGTTGATGTGGCTCTGGTAAAAGCAGTACTAATTACAGTCATTCATATGCGCTGTTACCATTTCTGCCTAATAACCATGCAGAACATCCACCCATACTATCATTAAATGTGTTGTATTAACTTTGTTCTAACTTTCATTTGATTAAATTATAAACTTATGTTTTTCCAGCTCACGTGTCAGTGTGCTAGTTCTGAAGTCAATAATTTTGCAAACGGTATAAAACAAATGCAGGGGAGACAGTGTTGCCTCTGAGGTTCTTCCTCTCCACCCCCACTCGTCAACCCTGGGTCGGCTGCCGAGAAGCTCTGGGGTCTGGGGCACACCAATGATCCTGGGCCAGGATCCAGCCACTCAGGCATGGAAGTAAACCTTTGGAGACGCTTTCTGAATGAAGCTGGCTTCCTGTGAGACTACCCAGACCTGAATGCTTTTGAGGACAACGCCCCAGAGGGCTAACCAGCTCTTGAC